ACCTCTAATTCGTGCATCATTTTGGTCACCAGCTGCTCGGATTGGGCTGCGCATTTTTCTTCAATCAAGACTTTGTTCTGTCTCTGAAGACTCCCTTTATCTCTCTCCAGGCTTTGAAGCTTAGTGGACCATTCCTGCAGCATCAAATCTTTTTCTTTAACGACCCCATCAAGAGTCTGTGCAGACAAAACAAAACAAACAATGCATTGCCTGTCCTTAGTGGGCAGATCTCTGAGAAGAAAGGCGTTTTCTCTGTCCCTCGGTTTTCAGAAGACCAAAATAATGGATGTCAACCTTGACGCACCACAGCCCTGCAATCTCTTTAAAAGCCTCGGGCCGTTCAAGAAAATCAGAAAGGCTGAGCTAACGAGGGAGGAAAATCAGAATAACAGAGTTGGAAGGGACCTTAGAGGTCTTCTAGTCCAACCTCCTTCTCAAGCAGGAGACTCTCTCCAATTGTGGACAAATAGCTGTACAATCTCTTCTTGAAAACCTCCAGTGATGGAGCACCCACAACTTCTGGAGGCAAGTCGTTCCACTTTTTGCTTCTTGTCCTGCCTTCAGGTGCTTTGGAGAATAGGTTGACCCCCCTCTTCTTTGTGGCAGCCCCTCAGATATTGGAAGACTGCTGTCATGTCACCCCTAGTCCTTCTCGTGATTCAGGATACTGCTTATAAGCACTTATATGTGCTTAGAGCTCAAAGCATTGTTAGAGACCCCACACACCCACTTCATTATCTGTTCCTGTTACTCCCCTCTGGGAGGAGGTGTCAAAGTAGGGGCGGTGGGGTAGCGGTCATTATAAGGGAGAACCTATGTCCGAGGGAGACCACTGTGCCTCAGATAGACGGTGGAGAGTCCCTCCTTGTGAAGTGGGGACAGGGGGTTCAAGTGGGCCTGTTGATTATATACCTGGCTCCCTGGTTCACCAGTTGCAGCCTTTTCTGGACCGGGATGCCTTGCGCACAGTTACCCATGCTCTTGTCACCTCCCGCCTGGACTACTGCAATGCTCTCTACATGGGGCTCCCCTTGAGGAGCACTCGGAGGCTCCAGTTAGTCCAGAATGCAGCCGCGCGGGCGGTGTTGGGAGTGACTCGTCGCTCCCATGTAACGCCGCTGCTGCGCGAGCTGCACTGGCTGCCTGTGGCCTTCCGGGTGCGCTTCAAGGTGTTGATCATCATCTTCAAAGCGCGCCATGGCATCGGACCTGGTTACCTCCGAGACCGCCTTCTGCCACAGATCACCTCTCACCGGACGATACGCTCCCACAGAGAGGGTCTCCTCAGAGTGCCGTCAACCAGACAGTGTCGGTTGGCGACCCCCAGGGGGAGAGCCTTCTCTGTTGGAGCCCCCACCCTCTGGAACGAACTACCCCCAGAGATCCGGGTGATTCCGGATCTCCCCTCCTTCCACCGTGCCCTCAAGACATGGCTATTTCAGCAGGCAGGACTGGCCTAAGGGGTATTTTAAATTTGATTTTTAAATAACTTTTAAAAAAGGAAGAAAAGGCCCATATTAATATTTCTTTTTAACTACATTTTAAATTTTGTATATTGTATTGATTGTTTTGTTTTAAACTGGCTGTAAGCCGCCCTGAGTCCACCAGGAGAAGGGCGGGGTATAAATGTAATAAATAAATAAATAAATAAATAAAGTATTTATAGCAGAACTACTACATTCTGGAATAGCTTTCTTCCTTATGCCATCCGTCTTGTAAATTTGCAGGGTTCTTTTTCCCCCCGCCATGTACATATATACATTCAAACTGGACTGTGATGTTTCTCTGTGTCATATATGTGTGTGTGTGGGGGGGTATATGCATAATAGTAGTTTTCTGAGAGCTGAATGCAATGAAATTTCATTTTTAATGTATGCTGATTAGTGTACATTTATTCTATTCTATTCTGTTCCTTATTCTATTCTATTCTACTCTATTCTATTTATTATTCTATTCTATTCTATTCTATTCTATTCTATTCTATTCTATTCCCTTCTATTCCATTCCATTCCATTCTATTAATATATATTCTATTCTATTCTAATTTCTATTCTATTCTATTAATATATATTCCATTCTATTCTAATTTCTATTCTATTCTATTCTATTCCATTCCATTCTATTAATATATATTCTATTCTATTCTAATTTCTATTCTATTCTATATTCTATTCTAGTCTATTCTACTCAATTACTATATATTCTATTGTATTCTAATTTCTATTCTAATTTCTATTCTATTCTATTCTATTAATATATATTCTATTCTAATTTCTATTCTATTCTATTCTATATTCTATTCTAGTCTATTAATATATATTCTATTCTATTCTATTCTAATTTCTATTCTATTCTATTCTATTCTACTTTATTAATATATATTCTATTCTATTCTAATTTCTATTCTTTTCTATTCTTTTCTATTCTTTTCTATTCTTTTCTATTCTATTCTATTCTATTCATTCTAATTCTATTCTATTCTATTCCTGCAACCGTTCTTCATGAATCATCAAATGATGACGCTGCCTCTTTAATGACATCAGGCCTTCCACGTCAACAGATGTTCTCCTTACCTGCAGAAGCTCGTCTTTCTGAGCAACGCTGTCCGTCAAGCGTGTGATGACCAGCTCCTGGTTCTGCAGCTTTTGATCCCCTTCGCTCAAGAGAATCTGGTAACGGAGCTCCATCCCTTTTTCTTTTTCCGCCAACTCATTCTGAATTTTTTCCAGCTGGTTTCGAAGGTCCTGGCCAGGGAAAAGATGACAAGAAACCCCCACAGGGATATTGGAAGAGGTCTTAGATACGTTGTAGGTAGTTCTCAGCTTATGACCTGCATTTCCATTACTAAGCGAGGCGGTTGCTAAGTCTGCCCAATTTTACAACCTGTTTTGCCAAAGGAGAATCGGAGATGGTCCCTTCCCTCTTTTACTCAAGAGTTGAATAATTAAAACCTAACACTCCCTTTCTTCTTAAACTTGAGAATGGGACAAATGTGGTCCAACAATTGCCCAGTGTATGCAATTGAAAAAAAAAAAAGCAGAGACATCACCCTGCCCACAAAAGTGCGTAGAATCAAGGCCATGGTTTTCCCAGTTGCAATGTATGGCTGTGAAAGTTGGACCATAAGAAAGGCTGAGCGACAAAGAATTGAGGCCTTTGAACTCTGGTGCTGGAGAAGACTCCCGCGAGTCCCCTGGAGTGCAAGGCGATCAAACCGGTCAGTCCTAGAGGAGATCAACCCCGACTGCTCTTTAGAAGGCCAGATCCTGAAGTTGAAACTCAAGGACTTTGGCCACCTAATGAGAAGGAAGGACTCACTGGAGAAGAACCTAATGCTGGGAAAGATGGAGGGCAATAGAAGAACGGGATGACAGAGAAGGAGGTGGCTGGATGGAGTCACTGAAGCAGTAGGCGTGAGCTTCAATGGACGCCAGAAGATGGTAGAGGACAGGAAGGCCTGGAGGAACGTTGTCCATGGGGTCATGATGGGTCAGACACGACTTCGTAACTAACAACAATGCAATTAAAAGATCTTTAGGTTTAAGGTGGAAACAGATCATAAAAGAATTATTATTTTGGTAGCCTGGGGAGAAGTCTTGAATTCTGGAAATCGACTGCAGCTGAATCTCTGTTCCGTACATGCTATACGTTCAAAACATCGTTTTTATTTCTCCGCTCGGTTGGTAAATATTCTGTCGAAGCAGCCTGATCCCATCTGGCAATCTGTACTGGCTCCTGGCTCTCTGCGGATTTCATTAATAGGTGTGAAATCTGGTAAAAGGCCTGAAATGTTACAAGCGCAGTCGGAAAAATAAAATAAAAAAAAAATAATAATAAATCTCCCATGTCTCGCTCAGATGTAGCCCTAGAGAATTGCAGTTCTGGGTCAAATCTGCAAAACGTCTCCCCAGACTGAAAACATTTTTGCACATTGAAACAGGCCAACAACAGGGTTTTTTTTTTTATAGAGAGAGATAAAACACCCAGCCAGATGCTCATGAATTATACCAGCTTTAAAAAAAACAAAACAAAAAAACCCCCACACATATGACTTTTAGCACCGGGCAAGAAGCAACGGATGGAAACTAACCAAGGAGAGAAGCAACCTAGAACTAAGGAGAAACTTCCTGACAGTTAGAACAATTAACCAGTGGAACAACCTGCCTCCAGAAGCGGTGAATGCTCCAACACTGGAAGTTTTTAAGAAGAGACTGGACAGCCATTTGTCTGAAATGGTGTAGGGTTTCCTGCCTGAGCAGGGGGTTGGACTCGATGACCTCCAAGGTCCCTTCCAACTTTATTATTATTAAAGGTGAAAAACGGTCATAAATCCGCTTTTTTCCAGTGCCGTTGTCATTTTGAATGTCACTAAACGAACTGTCGTAAGTCAAGGACTAGCTTTATTGGCACCCCAAATGTCAAAAGTCCCCTCTCTAATTCTTCCAACATGGTTTCCGTCATTGCAGCAAGTTAAATCTGCGCTTTCTGCTTTTTTTAAAAAAAAAACGTTATTACTCTTGCCGTATATTGGTTTTATTAAGATTTTCCCAGTTTGGCAGCAGGGACATTTAATGCCTTTTGACTACCGGCACATAAATCCCCGATTGGGTGACCTTTGCTGCCCGATTTTAAAGGGTGGATTTCAAATTCGCCCCGAAAACCGCAAGGACCATTCTCTACAAGTGTCAAGTCATCAGATCTGTAACCCATCAATGTCAGAAACTGCCAATAATTACGGGCTGATAAGCTTTAACATATGTGATGATCCAGCTGGAAAGATGTTCATGGATTTTTACAAATCCGAGCTAGAGTATCTTGCTTTTATCTTTCTCTAAAATTAATTAAGACGATTAAAGGCCTGCAGACTAAAACATACGAAGCACGGTTGCAGGATTTGAGAATGGCCAATCTAGAGAAAAAGAAGGACTAGGGGGGGGACATGATAGCAGGGTTCCAGTATTTGAGGGGCTGCCACAAAGAAGAGGGGATCAGCCCATTATCCAAAGCATCAGAAGGCAGGACAAGAAACAATGGATGGAAACTCATCAAGGAGAGAAGCAACCTGGAATTAAGGAGAAACTTCCTAACAGTGAAGACAATTAACCAGTGGAACTGCTTGCCTCCAGAAGTTGTGGGTGCTCCATCACTGGAGGTTTTTAAGAAGAGACTGGACAGCCATTTGTCTGGAATAGTGTAGGGTCTCCTGCCTGAGCAGGGGTTGGACTAGAAGACCTCCAAGGTCCCTTCCAACTCTGTTATTCTGTTATATTCTGCCCGCCACTCTGGGAGTAAAGATTTGATAGAAATCGTACATAAATCAAAACAATATCAAGCAGAACAAAACCCTCTCGTCCACCTGCTCAGGTGGGCAAAGATATTGGAGGAGAAAAAGCCACACGTGACTCGTGGAAGAGAATCTGCGCCCACTGCTACCCACAATTAAACCACAGGTGGACTTAACATCCTCGGAGCTCACCGGAGCCGCTTGCTGTATCTAACCAAGTATGGAATCGGCCATCCTTACCGTTATTCTATTTTAGAGATCATTTAATTTCCCAGCCTGTAACGTGGGGCTTAGACTCCCTTCCGTCTTCCGAATTAGATGTAAAGGAGCAAAAATTGGGTACGGTTCATTTTGTGAGTTTTATGGACTGGCGACCCAGCGGAGCAGCTGTGTCTCTCGCCTGCCGTTAATAGAACGGGAACGCGACGCGGCTCGCTCACAGGAGCTTCCCACCAAAGCAGCCCCCAAAAGAGATTGCCATGAAGAAAACACGGGGGGCGTGCTTTTAACTCCCACTTGCCTGCCGGATGAGCAGAGATTTCACACCCAGAGCTCTGGTGCAATGTATTTAACATCAGGAACTCTGTGTGTGTGTGCATTTTGCACACTTCGACAAATAAGTGGGGAGCTCGGTCCTCCACTTGCGACAACAATGGAGCCTAAATTTCCCGTTGCTAAATGAGAGGTTAGCTGAATTCCGCCCCATTTTACGACTTGTCACTGCAGTTGTTAAATTAGCAACAGGGTTGTTAAATGAGTCGGGGTTCTCCCCATTGACTTTTACTCGTCAGAAGGACACAAAAGGGGATCAGTGACCCCCCCGGGGACACTGCGACCGTCATAAATGTGAGTCAGTGGAAGAGCCTCTGAATTTTGATCACGTGACCCTGGGAAAGTGGCAACGGGGGTGTGAAAAACAGTCCCAAGTCCCTTTTTTTCAGTGCTGTTGTAACTTCAGTCCCTAAATGGACTGTTGTAAGTCAAGGATTACCCGTATGTATTTTCCAAAAAGGTGCACGAAACCCATGGAAACCGACCTAACAATATTGTTCAATTTTGCAGACAGAAAAATCTGAGAAGTGGGCGGGGGTCTCGTTAGCTTTTCAAAAGTTCTAACTTGCCCACTTGCTTTGATGAGGTCAAGATTCTGGTATCAAGCTAGTCCTTAGAAGACAAAGGCCATAAATAAGAATAGAATAGGAATAGGAATAGGAATAGAATAGAATAGAAAATAGGGAATAGAATAAGAATGGAATGGAATGGAATGGAATGGAATAGGGAATAGAATAGAATAGAATAGAATAGAATAGAATAGAATAGAATAGAATAGAATAGAATAGAATAGAGCAGAGCAGAGTAGAATAAGGAGTAGAATAAGGAGTAGAATAAGGAATAGAATAAGGAATAGAATAGAATAGAATAGAATAGGAAATAGGGAATAGGGAATGGAATAGAATAGAATGGAATAATAGAATAGAATAGAATAGAATAGAATAGAATAGAATAGAATAGAATAGAACAGGAAATAGAGAATAGGGAATAGGGAATGGAATAGAATAGAATAGAATGGAATAATAGAATAGAATAGAATAGAATAGAATAGAATAGAATAGAATAGAATAGAATAGAATCAAATATTGGATTTGGGTCTAGGATGACTCACTGCAGCCAACTCTCCGTGGGAGAATTCAACGCTGCATTAAATGTTTCTTTCAGTTACTTTTATTAGTGGTGACCGTGTTTTTTTTATCGAAATTATTGCAACTTTTATCATCCTGGATTCACTTTATTATTATTGGCCACGGTTCCCTCAAAAGTTAATTTCACTTCAAAACCCAAAGACCCAGCAACCCCTGGAAGAAAAAAAATAATAATAATTGGGAAGCTTCTATCCTTACTCGTATATCCTGGATGTAATTAGATTTCTGTACGCGCGCAAACACAGGTGCACCTGGCTGTAAAGCACGGCGCTCATCTGCCACTTGGTAGCTTTTCATCACCGCTGGGTGAATGACACAGCTGTCCTTTCCAGCCCCAAATCTCCTAAATATCAATATTAGAGAATTGATGGAGCTGAGAGTTGAGCCGCGGAGTCCTCGGTGCTCTCTGTTTGCTCAAGTTAAATCCAAAAAGCACTGGGGAATTCTTGGAAGCTGTGCACTCAGATGTCCTGGCTCCGACAGATTAAATTCTTCAAAGAACTTCAAGGCATTGTTTACCTTAAAGCAGACATGTCAAACACAAGGCCCGGGGGGGCTGGATGCGGCCCGAGAAGTGGTTTCATGTGGCCTGCGAAGCCATCCTGGAAACAGTGATGGAACGGCCTCCGCTGCCTTGGCCCTGGCCCTGGCCGGCCGGGAGCCAATGTACAATTTTGTGGTGGCCATCTATGCTGAAACGCATTCAGTCTTAGCTCCATAAGCCACCCCCCCCTGCATGGCCTGAGAAGAACAGTGAGGCTCCTCCAGTGGACCATGCCTTGGCGCTTGCCCTGGTCCCACCCCCTTCTGCCAGAGACCCTCAGATCTATCCCACTCCTGCCCAGCCCCGACAAGGACCCTTGACGCGAACAATGTAGAGCTGGCCATGCCCACCCAGTAGGTCACATCCACTCCGTCCACGCCCACCCAGTAGGTCGCACCCACCCGGCCCCATGAGGGCAACTGCAATGCTGATGTGGCCCTCAATGAAATTGAGTTTGACACCCCTGGACTAGAAAGAGTGCAGAGAAGAGCAACAAAGATGATTAGAGGACTGGAGGCTAAAACATGAGGAACGGCTGCTGGAATTGGGTATGTCTAGTTTAACAAAGAGAAGGACGAGGGGGGACATGATAGAAGTCTTCCAACATCTCAGGGGCTGCCCCAAAGAAGAGGGAGTCAAGCTATTCTCCAAAGCCCCAGAAGGCAAGACAAGAAGCAACGGATGGAAACTCATCAAGGAGAGAAGCAACCTAGAACTAAGGAGAAACTTCCTGACAGTTAGAACAGTTAACCAGTGGAACAACCTGCCTCCAGAAGCGGTGAATGCTCCAACACTGGAAGTTTTTAAGAAGAGACTGGACAGCCATTTGTCTGAAATGGTATAGGGTTTCCTGTCTGAGCAGAGGCTTGGACTAGATGGCCTCCAAGGTCCTTTCCAATTCTCCATTGCGGTCGTAAGGGGTAGGACCATGCCTTGGCACTTGCCCCGGTCCCACTCCCTTCTGCCAGAGACCCTCAGATCTGTCCCACTCCTTCCCAGGCCCCCACATGCCCCCTTGACGTGAACAATGTAGAGCTGTCCATGCCCACCCAGTAGGCCACACCCACTCTGTCCATGCCCCCAGTAGGCCACACCCACTCCATCCACGCCCACCCAGTAGGCCGCACCCACCCTGGCCACACACCCCTGCCCCCCCCCGAGGGCAACCACAATGCTAATGCAGCCCTCAATGAAATTGAGTTTGACACCACTGCCTTAAAGGATCTTTATTCGAGTAGCATAGCATCGGCACGTACACAGGCCAAGCCAAAATCTGAATTCCCCTCTCCTGAACACATAGTATCCAAGCACAATTCCCTCCTCTAATTAACCAAGAGGGATTTGCTGGAGACCGGAACGGCCTCTTCTCAGCCACACACCTTGTGCCAAGGAGACGAAGCGGTCCTACCCCTCCCTAGTTTTGCAATAGTGACACCACAAAAGCAGTCTTCACTTCAGCAGGCTGACTGCAGCAAATAGGGTCCCCGAGCTATTTTTAAACTTGAACTCGGGCCCGTCTTTGCTTTCCAGCTGCCACGAGAGAGACGGGGGGAAAAATCTATAAGACTGTGAATTAAGTCCTTTGAACGCCGCGGCACCATGGAACTCCCCCGTGGAAGTCATTTTTCGATGCCCTCCTGGCTTAGCTGCCCTCCACGCCCAAAACTTTTCATCCTCCGAGAATTCATAAAAAAGCCCAATGCGGAAAACCAAGGCTCAAAATAAATACATTGCAGCATTTCCCCATTATCAAAATCCGGATGTTTGCAACTGGCTCATATTTAATAATAATAATAATAACAACAACAACAACAACAATAAAGTTGGAAAGGACCTTGGAGGTCTTCTAGTCCAACCCCCTGCTCAGGCAGGAAACCCTGTACCATTTCAGACAAATGGCTGTCCAGTCTCTTCTTGAAAACTTCCAGTGTTGGAGCATTCACCGCTTCTGGAGGCAGGTTGTTCCACTGGTTAATTGTTCTCACAATTAAGGCAGAAGGCAGAAAAAGTTGGGGACCTCTGCAGTAGAGAACAACGCTGCGCCCGTACTTCAGTCATATGTAAGTAGATCACGCAAAAGAGGGTGAACGTGTGGTGGCCATTTGTGGAGAGAGACACCCCTCTGCTGGCTTGAAGTAGGATGACAGCCGCAGATCTACAAGATGGGACTTTGGGTTTTCCTAAATCGCACTCAACGTAGGAATAACTAATCCTGTAGGACAGGGGTCCCCAACCCCCGATCCGTGGACCGGTAGCAGGCCGCGGCATGCCAGCAACCAGTCCGCACAAATAAGCAAAGCCCCATCCGCAGGACGCAGCCAGCACACAAAACCACGCACGGAAAAACCTCTCTCCACGTAACTGGTCCCTGGTGCCCAAAAGGTTGGCGACCTCTGCTGTAGAAGATGAGCAGGCTGAGCAGGAAGGCGGAGTCAAACGTGTCATCGGTTTGGAATCATTGCGTAGCCATAAGAGACTCGGGTTCCAGCTCCCCGGCCCATTTTTGCCTTTTGTGTTTTAGACCCACCTGAATCTCTTGAATTAGCTCAATCTAAGTCCTTTAATGAAGCCAAGAAATTAAAAGACGCTTGCTCCTGGGGAGGAAAGCTATGGCAAATCTACACAGCATAGTAAAAAGCAGAGAGAGCACCCTGCCAACAAAAGTGCGTATAGTCAAGGCCATGGTTTTCCCAGTTGCCATCTATGGCTGTGAAAGTTGGACCATAAGCAAGGCTGAGCGCCAAAGAATGGAGGCCTTTGAACTCTGGTGCTGGAGAAGACTCCTGCGAGTCCCCTGGACTGCAAGGCGATCAAACCGGTCAGTCCTAGAGGAGATCAACCCCGACTGCTCTTGAGAAGGCCAGATCCTGAAGTTGAAACTCAAGTACTTTGGCCACCTAAGGAGAAGGAAGGACTCACTGGAGAAGGGCCTAATGCTGGGAAAGATGGAGGGCAAGAGAAGAAGGGGACAATGACAGAGAATGAGGTGGCTGGACGGAGTCACTGAAGCAGTAGGCGTGAGCTTCAATGGACTCCAGAAGATGGTAGAGGACAGGAAGGCCTGGAGGAACGTTGTCCATGGGGCACGACTTCACAACTAACAACAACAAAGTCCTTTAAGGCAGGGGGTCACATGGGGACACCGCAAATGGTCGTATTTTCAGGGCTGCTGAAACTTGGTCACTAAACGAACTGTTGTAATTCGAGGACTGTTTTGGAAGTGTTTTATTTTATTTAACATCACCACCACCGTCCCTCAAGTTCCAGGAACGTGTTAAGATGTTCTGATGGGACAAAGGCCTGTTTGATGCTTCAGAGGACACGAGAGAACATTCCGATATCCAAAATATTTCTTACTGTCCGCTTTCGACCCGGAAGCTTTGGGACTTCTCTCCGGCCCTTGGGCATCCACCTAGCAATCCTATTTATTCCAAAGTGCAAAAGAAAGAGAGAGAGAGAAAAAAAGTGGCCCACACACTCACGTGGATGGTTTTGTCGCTCTGGTTCTTCTGCAGCTGAGCTTCTTCTAATTCTCTGCCCAGCTTCTCCTTCTCGACAAGCAGCTCGCTCAGCTCCTGCTCGGTCCTCTTCAGCTTCCGTTGCAGCTTCCGGTTCTCGGTGTCCTTGGTCAGGTTCTGCGAGCGCAGGTCCGCCAGCAGACTCTCCTTCTCCATCAGCACTTCCCGTGACTCTTCGGCACCCTGGGAGAAAATAAAATAAGATAAAATAGAAAGGTTACGACAGCCTTTTCCCGTAGATAGACTTGGTTTTAAGGCTGGTGGTTGGTGGTGGTAGTGTTGTTTTAATAGATGCATGACTAAACGTTGTGCCTTGGGATGACACTCTTCCCTTACATCGGAAGAGCTATAGGCCTCTCGTAAGGTGGGCCAACTCCATGAAGTTCTTGGTGGTCTCTGAGCTGGGTGGTCTCTGAGCTGAGCTTTCTTGCAGATGTTTCATGACCCAACTAGGTAATATCATCAGTGCTGGAAGGGAGTGGGGATTGCAGGGAGGAAGAGGAGGAGGAGGAGGAGAATTGTAGGCTCTTTGGTGCTCTCTGAGCTTGCTTGTTTTCTTGCAGACATTTCATGACCCAACTAGGTAATATCATCAGTGCTAGAAGGGAGGGGGGTTTGTTTATATACAGTTCCTTCTAGAACAGATTGTGTTACCTAGCTGGGTCATGGCATGTCTGCTAAAAAACAAATAAACTCACCAAGGTCGTTGTCCTCCTCCTCCTCCTTCTCCTCCTCCTCCTCCACTCCACAAACCACATTCCCTTCTAAAACACCGATGATGTTACCTGTTTGGGTCATGAAAAGTCTGCAAGAAAAAAAAACTAAGCTAAGAGACCACCAAGGACCTCACAGTTCTCGTTCTCCTCGTCCTCTCCACAAACCACACTCCCTTCGAACACTGATGATGTTACCTAGTTGGGTGATGAAATGTCTGCAAGAAAAGAACAAAGCTCAGAGAGCACCAAAGACTCCACAGTTCTCCTCCTCCCCCTCCTCCTCCTCCTCCTCTCCACAAACCGCACTCCCTTCTAACACTGAAGATGTTACCTAGTTGGGTCCTGAAAAGTCTGCAAGAAAACAGCCAAGCTCAGACAACACCAAGGGCCCCACAATGCCCCTCTTCTTCCTCCTCCCCATCCCACTCTTCCCTTTCACTCCACAAACTCGACTCCCTTCTAACACTGATGTTGTTACTTAATTGGGTCTTGAGACGTCCGCAAGAGAACCACCCAGCTCAGAGAGCACCAAGGGCCCCACAATTCCACCCTGAGCTACAGATACGACTATCTACTCTGTCTCCTTTGCCCAACCTTGAATTTCTGCATCTGATCTTGGGGACTGGACTCTCCAGGCTTGACCCACAACGCTTTCAGGCCTTCTATTTCAGAAGCGAGTTCTCCATTCTAAAACAAGATGAAAGAACAATTTATATATACACACACACACACACATACACTAAGTGTTTTTCTTAGGGTATGACTAGCTGATGAGAGCTAAACAGCTCGAAATAGCTATACTAGTCTCCCTTTAACTCTTGGCAATCCAAATTTAACATATATATATGTTATGTACCCAAGAGTCAAGTTTTTACTTTAATTACTAGTGATATATATATTTATGTGTGTGCATAGATGGAAACCAGCAGTGATCACAAATGGGAGAATGGAACTTTCAGTCTAATGCAGCCAAATATACTTCTATATTTTGATATATTCTTCAACCTCCAAGACCACACCTACCTCCTTTTCTTTGGTTTTTAAAACAAGGGTGAGTCCCTGGATGGTCTTGTCTCGTTTCAGCGCGTTTCTCTTTTCGGCAGAAAGCTCCGTTTCCCGTTCGCGAAGGTCGTTCTGGAGATGCTGGAAGTTTTTTGGGGGGAAAATGTGAAGGCAAAGGGCAACTCGATGTTAAACATGCACACGTGGTATGGCAGCGCGTTGTTGCTGAGCCAGAATGGCGCAGCGGTTAGAATGTAGCATTGCAGGCTAAACTCTGCTCGCTGCCAGGAGTTCGATCTTGACCGGCTCAAGGTTGACTCAGCCTTCCATCCTTCTGAGGTGGGTAAAATGAGGACCCAGGTTGTTGGGGGGCAACAGGCTGACTCTGTAAACCGGTTAGAGAGGGCTGTAAAGCCCTGTGAAGCGGTATATAAGTCTAAGGGCTATTGCTATCGTTGCTCTAGAATAGACAAGAGGAAAATGTTGGGGCTGCAAAAGAATGAATCACAGCTAAATGCTTCAGGAAAAATATTTTCCTTGCTTTTAGAAATTTGAATTATAAGAGAAAAAGCTATCTAAAATACCCCTCCGGACACGTCAGGGTTCTGAGTGCAGAGCGAGTGCCATACCTCAATCCTTTTTTCAAGGTCTTTTTTTTCACTGCTGAATTCGGTCCCGGGAACCTACAAGAATAAAGACATTTTTAACTTCAACAAAATAACAACAACAAAAAAAAACCCTCTGAGATGGCTGTTTGCTATTGCCACTTATCAGCACGGAAAAAAATCGAGGAATGGGAACAGAGGAGGAGAATCGTATTGTGAATTCATGAGGACTAGAATCCTGTAATCCCAGCATGGATGGATGGATGGATGGATGGATGGATGAATGGGATGGATAGGAAGAATGGATGGATGGATGGATAGGAAGGATGGATGGATGGATAGGAAAGATGGATGGATGGATGGATGAATGAATGGGATGGATAGGAAGAATGGATGGATGGATAGGAAGTATGGATGGATGGATAGATGGATGGATGGGATGGATCAATGGGATGGATGGAAGTATGGATGGATGGGATGGATAGATGCATGGTATGGGATGGATGGGATGGATGGGATTGACAGATGGATGGAGGGATAGATGGATGGATAGATGCATGGTATGATATGGATGGGATGGATAGGATGGATGGATGGATCAATGGGATGGATGGATGGATGGGATGGATGGATGGATAGACGCATGGTATGATATGGATGGGATGGGATGGATGGATGGGATGGATGGACATCCAGCTTACTGACCAATTTACAGACCCTCCTTCGCAATCTCCCATGTTTCCCTCACCTCCAAGACCATCTCTTCTTCCTCATTCAATGCATCACTAGGATCTGGGCTTTCTCCTGACGGTCTTCTCTGTCCTTCCTCCAAGAGCTGGACCGCAGCATTTTTCCTTTCCAGAGAGAGCCTCAGTTGCTCTACGTACCTACAAGCATAACACCAGCCTCTTACACCACGGGCAGGGAGAAAGCGAGCAGACCCCAAAGGTTGACTCACTCACAGGATAAGAGTCTCTCCTGCTAGGCCCTCCCCACCTACTCTTGGGTGGATGGCCCAAGCTGACTTCATGAGGGTCCAACCAATAAACCCACCTGGCTAAAAGACAGCAAACCTTTGGGGTAAACAAGTAGCAGCCCAACCTGTCCTTTTGTCCCAAAGGTGCTTTTTTCCAAAAAAGCAATTAGGACTTTCTTGGTTCTTTTCCTTAAAAATGATTCTCTTCCCATCCAAGTCCCAAAGATGCTTTTTTTCAAGAGGCAACTGGACTTTCTGGTTTTTTCTCTGAAGATGTTTCGCTTCTCATCCAAGAAGCTTCTTTAGCTCTGACTGGATTGGTGGGAAAATGGAAGGATTTATACTCCTTGCAGACCGCTGGTCATTTGCAGTCTTGGAGGCCACTTGGAGGTTTACCTGTGTCCTCAGGATCACCTGAGCGGTGCAAATGGGTGTGGAGCCTTCTTGGAACTGCTGAATATAAATCTTTCCCTTCTCCACCCTCCAGTCAGAGCTGAAGAAGCTTCTTGGATGAGAAGCGAAATGTCTTCCAAGAAAAACAAGAAAGTCCAGTGGCCCCTTGAAAAAAGCACCTTTGGGACCACCAGGATCTGAAGGGCTGAGAATCTCCATAGACTTCTCATCCAAGAAGCTTCTTCAGTTCAAGACAGTTCTTCATCCAGGAACCGAAGAAGCTTCTGGGGTGAGAAGCGAAATATTTCCAAGCGAATTAAAAAAAAAAAGAAAAAGAAACCCAACGAAGTCCAGTTGCCTTTTGGAAAAGCACCTTAGGGACAACGGCGACTTGGGTGATCCAGAAGCTCCAGAGGCCTTCAACCTGTCTTTTTCTTCCAGCATTGCTGTGACATCCATATCTTTGGCCTGCGCCGTGAGGATCAAGGAGAGCTGCTCTTCCGCAGCCAGGCGCTGAACTCTTTCGCACTCCGTCAAACCAAACGCCTTCTCTACTTCTTCACGGGCCGTTCGAAGATCCTGCGCTCGGAAAGCAAAAAAAAAAAAAAGGGGGGGGGATATGGAAACCAAGGGACCTTTATTTATTTATTTATTTATTTAATTTTTATTTTTCCTTTTTCACTTTACAAAAAAACAAAACGCAAAATATATTTTTTTTCCTTAACAGTACTGTGTCCTATACTGTATCTCTTCCATATGTTTACAGTTAATAATAATAATAATAATAATAATAATAATAATAATAATAATAATAATAATAATAATAATAATAATAATAATAGTAAAGTTGGAAGGGACCTTGAAGGTCATCTAGTCCAACCCCCTGCTCAGGCAGGAAACCCTACACCATTTCGGACAAATGGCTGTCCAGTCTCTTCTTAAAAACTTCCAGTGTTGGAGCATTCA